CAGTCACTGTACTGACCACATTGTCATATAATCAATCATCTGCTTATATCCTTAATCAGAGTGAGATCTTTAGGAAGTCTTATTCCTCTTTGATTCTTCAGTGTCTAACACATACTGGTGCAACTAATGATTGTTGAATGAAGAAAGAATGGAAGGAAGGGCGAGGAGGAAGAGGGGAGAAAAGAAACAAACCACCTACTTTATAGTCTCTGGTATTCTCATTCCAATCAGTTCAATACAGGCTAGTTGGAATCTTCTGTTTTAAATTCTTAAAAGACTATGTACCATACATATTCCTGACTTTAAGCACTCTCTTTGAGCATCCCATCTCCAATTCTTACACAGCCTGTCGTATCTCTTGTTAGGCCCTGCTGCTTATACACTTCTGGTCTTTGATGCCTTTCAGATTTCCCATTTCATGCCAGAATATGTCCTTTTCCTTATGCTTCTTGGGCAGTTATGTACCCCAGTACCCTGAATCTCCGTATGAGTTGTGCCTATTTAAAAAAATACCATATGCTTGGAATTTATCTCTTTATCTTACTGATTTCATGGAAAATCAGGATTCTGCAATGAATTTTAAAGTTAGCCAATTTGAGTCATTTTATTATACTTAAAAAGGAACTTTTTTACAAGAAGGAATGCCTTTAATTATGTTCCTAATTCTTAGTGTGTATGTATAATTTTGTCAGCTTAAGTAGAATCAGATCACCGAAGTCATAGTGGGTTAATCTTCATAAGGTTGATAAGATCAACCTTTAGCAAACCTAGTGTCTTCTACAACCAACATAATCTCAAGGTTACAAGTCAGCAATTGTTATACATATTTAAAGCTGACTTTAATACATTAGAGAAAAGCTCTTTACCCTTCTTAATAAACAGATAATGACATGAATTCAATATAGATTTATATTATATGTGTATAGTAACTAGTATGTATATATTTGCCAACATTCTTTCATGTATTCCAGACAAAGCCAAATGGTTGATCTAGTGTTTGCATTTTTTTTTTTTTTTTTTTTTTAAGACAGAGTCTAGCTTTGTTGCCCAAGCTGGAGTATGGTGGCATAATCTCAGCTCACTGCAACCTCTGCCTCCCGGGCTCAGGCTATTCTCCTGCCTCAGCTCCCTGAGTACCTGGGATTACAGGCACATGCCACTGTGTCTGGTTCATTTTTGTATTTTTAGTAGAGACAGAATTTCACTATGTTGACTGGGCTGGTCTCGAACTCCTGGCCTCAAGTGATCTGCCTGCCTCAGCCTCCCAAAGTGCTGGAATTACAGGTGTGAGCCACTGCGCCTGACCTAGTGTTTGCATTTTCAAAAACACTATAGAAGTTTAAGGCATCTGGTCTCAATTTTTTTAATTATGAAAAAATCCATAAGTATATAACACACACATATAAAGAAAAAACATCCTGCATTTTACCACCCAGTTTAGGAAATAGCCAATTTTAATTTTAATCAAAGCTGAATCAAATCTCGAATTAGAGATCTGAGATTTATATAATGTTTAATTTGATATCACATATTCAAAACTTTTCTGTATCTCTTTAAATGGGTATTGATTCATTCCTTCCCCATTTATATGTGATTTAGAGTTTATTCGGTGCTTTCAGATGCATTGTTTCACTTAATGTCCACAGAAACTCCATGAAGTCAGTTATCCCCATTTTGCAAGTGAGGAGGCCTGAAGCTTGGAACAGTTGACTTGGTCATGCAGCTATTAAATCTTAGAGGCAGGACTGGAATCTAGGTTTTCTCATTAATTTTTTTACTATGAGAAAGCTGCAGGGAAGAAAACAATATCCTACATTCCCTGGTAAATTGTTAAGGATTCATAATTATATAATGCTTTACCTTTCCAGAATGGTGGTTATAAGGGATGTTTTTGTTTAACAGGGGACTTCTAGAGACAAAAATATTGAGCTTTCTTAACATTTAAAACATTAAATCATTTTAATCTCCTAGACATAATTTCAGGTACCATGAGCCTGTGAGGGAGACACTTGTAATTAAAAGAGCAAGTGGTCCTTTGCAGAGTTGCCTAAATTATACCACAAGCAACCTGTCAGGTCAGTCTAGGGATTGCAGGAATCCAATCCCTAGATTGGCTGCGTTCTTGAAAACGCTCATGGTAAGTAAATCGGTGGTTAGAGAATTGAAGACCTTATGGGGGAAAATAGTTAGGGAGGCCTTGAATTGGTGTGGGTATGGGGAGGTCAATCTGGTTAGGAGTTGGACTTGGGTTTTGTTGTTGCTTTCATTACCTTCACTGTACTACAGACCTCAAATCCTTCTAGGAGAGGGCTACCAAGACCTTTTGCTGAGGGTGGGGCTGGGGTGCCAGAGGGTATTTCTCAGCATCTATGCTTTCCCCTCAGCTTTCAGCCTTCTCTGCCAGCATGCCCCACAAAGGGCATCTCTCTCCAAACTCTTGCCCCCTCTCCTGGTGGCAGCCCGCTGTCTCTTGTTTCTCAGCCTTGGGCTGGTTAGCAGTGCAGGAGGTTCCCTGTTGTTCTGGGCCTGCCTCAGACCTAGGCTGGACCTGTGCACCTGGGCTTTGGACACGGGGCTTTCTTGGTGTTCCTGCCCTCTGTCACGTGGTAGCCAAACTCTGCCTTCCATCTGTGGTCAGTCTTGGGCCAGTGTCTCCTGTCTCTGCTCTGATAATAGGAGAGCTCTGTCTGGCCTTCAACGCTGCCTCCATCTTTCATGTGAGGCCCATGGAAAAGTGTTTGCTAATGAGTGTGAATTTCCTTGGGTCTGGAGTAATTCCAGACTGACATGTAGTGCACCGTTGGCCTTTACCAGTACATTCAGATTATAGCTGGTACATTCTTACCAGCTGGTGTGATGGCAGCCTATTCTTTCTGGATCCTGCTACAGCTGAGACTGTTTCTTATGTCCCTTTTCTCCTTGGAGGGGCTGGTTCCTCTTTTGAAATCAGGTTACTTGATTACCTTTTGACTTCAGCTCTCTGCTGGTCTCAAGAAAAGTTATGATTTTGTGGCTTATCTATCTGGCATTTTCCTGTTGTTATGGATGGAAACAATGTATTTTGTAGCTTTCTATATCCTAAACATAAGAGTAACTCTCCTAATGTCAGGCTTAAATAAGATTTTTCGGCTGGGTGTGGTGGCTCACGCCTGTAATCCCAGCACTTTGGGAGGCTGAGGTAGGTGGATCACAAGGTCAGGAGTTCGAGACTAGCTTGGCCAACATGGTGAAACCCCGCCTCTACTAAAAATACAAAAATTAGTTGGGCATGGTGGCAGGCACCTGTAGTCCCAGCTACTCAGGAGGCTGAAGCAGGAGGATCGTTTGAACCTGGGAGGCAGAGGTTGCAGTGAGCCAAGATGGCGCCACTGCATTCTAGCCTGGGCAACAGAGCAAGACTCCATTTAAAAAAAAAAAAAAAAGATTTTCCCCCTCCTCTGAACTCTAAGATCTTTATTAGTACCAGTTAGGTTCTTGAACTTTTTAACCTATATTTGTCTATCTTATTTCCCCTATTAAATGTAAGCTATATGAGGTCTCGTCTTAACAGTCTTTCTATCCTCAATAGTGCCTAGACCACTCGTACATGTAGCATGTAGCACAAGCACTCAGTCAAACGTGTTGGTGGGTAAAAGGGCTTTCCTAAAAAGTGGATGGGAAAGTCCTGAAGGAGGTGAATGGTTAGGAAAATGAGGTTATTGTTCTAAGCAGAGGGAGGTAACGATAGATGTGGCGTTCTCTCTTTTTGAATCTTTCTCTGCATGTGAGCATTTGGTATAATGTCCATGCCCAGTATTAGAAATCTTAATTGAATTTATAAAACATCAGCAGCCAATGTCAAAGGAGACACTGCAGGACACTGCTTTTCAGAATGCAGCTGAACCTATTGAAAATATGTCTCCAAAGTTTTGACTTAAGCCAAATATATTCTTTTGAAGCAAATTCTGCTTTTCTTGTAAATTTCATTAGAGAAATGCCTCCCAAAGGAAAATTCTCAGCAAACAGATGTGAAAACTTTTGATGAGTTAACGACTAAGGTAGTTAGGTGTGTGGGTGATGCACATAAAATATTACAGCAGTTTTCCAGCTCTAGGATTTTGTATATGTCATCAGCTGTTGTGACCTTCCAACCCATGAGAATTTTCCTCATGCCTGAGGATTCACTTAAGTCTACACTTTGAAATCCAGAGATTTCTTTCTTTTCCTCTTGGCTGGGTCAGTCTGACTGTGGCTGTATGATCACACATCACTAGCAGCTGCTAGCATTTTTAGGTTAGAATATGTGACTTTCCTAATGTAAAAAAAAAAAATCCTATAGTCCTCTAGCTTATCAGTTCATTAAGTTAAACTTTATATACCAACTTTCTTAAATGGAGGAATGCCTTTATTAATATGCAGCATCTATGTCATTACTAAGTTACTACACCAACAAAGATGAAATAATTTACTGCCCAAGTTGGTCTCCCTCCGACCCAACCTTTTCCCCCAGTTTTGTGTGGAAGTTTGATCAGGAGCTTTTTCCATGGAGGTTTTCAGCTTCCTTATTTCTAGGCACAAAGTTATGATCTTATCATCTTTCCCTTGATGCTAACCACCTTAGGATGATATCTGATTATTAGTCTTGCCACTGCGCTATTGAGAGTCACTTATTTCTAAGGAAATGAATTGAGGGTCTTGGAGTAGACAAGGACAGGAATGTTTTATTACCCACACTACAGATGTTGGAAAACAAAGCTGAAAACTCTTTTATATTTGTGTCTCTACTGACATCTGAATGCTCAACCCATTGCCTTTTTTTGGGTGGGAGGGAGAGGTAAAGATGGGGTCTCACTGTTGTCCAGGCTGGTCTTGAACTCCTGGGCTCAAGCGATCCTCCCGCCTCAGCCTTCCAAAGTGCTGGGATTACAGGCATGAGCCACCACATCCCTATTATTGCCTTCTTTAAAAATATTTTTTTGGGGCATAGATGCTAATTAACCCATCTGGTTGTTGTGTTTTAGTAGAGAAATGGTCAGAAGGAACGACACCACAGAAGAAATTAGAATGTTTAAAAGAACCAGAAAAAACATCGGTAGAATCTAAAGTACCTACCCAGATGGAAAAATCTACAGACACAGACGAGGACAATGTAACCAGAACAGAATATAGTGACAAAACCACCCAGTTTCCATCAGTTTATGCTGAGCCAGGTGCTGAGCAAACTGAAGCAGTTGGTGATTCTTCTTCCAAACCAGCCACCCCTAAGGCTACTACCCCACCCTCATCACCACCTCCAACAGCTGTCTCACCAGAGTTTGCCTACGTCCCAGCTGACCCAGCTCAGCTTGCTGCTCAGATGTTAGGTAAAGTTTCATCTATTCATTCTGATCAATCTGATGTTTTAATGGTGGATGTGGCAACCAGTATGCCTGTTGTTATCGAGGAGGTGCCAAGCTCAGAGGCTGCTGAAGATGTCATGGTGGCTGCTCCTCTTGTGTGTTCTGGAAAGGTGCTAGAAGTGCAGGTTGTGAGCCAAACATCTGTCCATGTAGATTTGGGTTCTCAACCTAAAGAAAATGAGGCTGAACAATCAACGGCTTCCTCAGTCCCCTTGCAGGATGAACAAGAACCTCCTGCTTATGATCAAGCTCCTGAGGTCACTTTGCAGGCTGATATTGAGGTTATGTCAACTGTTCATATATCATCTGTCTATGACGATGTGCCTGTGATTGAAGGAGTTGTTTATATCGAGCAACTGCCAGAACAAATAGTTACCCCTTTTACTGATCAAGTTGCTTGTCTTAAAGAAAATGAGCAGTCACCACCAGTTAGTCCCAAATCTGTAGTAGAAAAGACCACCTCTGGCATATCTAAAAAATCTGTAGAGTCTGTAGAACTTGCACAGTTGGAGGAGAATGCAAAATATTCCTCAGTATATATGGAGGCAGAAGCAGCAGCTCTGCTCTCTGACACATCTTTGAAAGGTCAGCCTGAGGTACCTGCACAACTCCTGGATGCAGAGGGCGCTATCAAAATAGGCTCTGAAAAATCTCTGCACCTTGAAGTGGGGATCACTTCAATAGTCTCTGACAATACTGGGCAGGAGGAGTCTGGGGAAAACTCTCTACCCCAGGAGATGGAAGGCAAACCTGTGCTCTCTGGGGAAGCTGCAGAAGCAGTGCACTCAGGTACATCTGTAAAGTCATCTAGTGGCCCCTTCCCTCCTGCTCCAGAAGGCCTTACTGCACCAGAAATTGAACCAGAAGGGGAAGCAACAGCTGAATAAGGTTTGATAAAGCCAGGTAAGAAAATCAGGTATTTCCATTACAAATTGCATTTCAGGTGACATCTGTATTTCAGGTTGCCATCTATGTAGGCTCCCTGCAGATTGGTCAGTCTTTATTTTCAATAGATTATTTTAAAATGCCAAAGCTATTTAAAGGCTTTGTTGTATTTGAGATTCTACTACTATGACAGGAGTGATTTTAAAGTGACGTCCCCAGAGCCTGGCCTCAGTTTGGTCATCCAGCACTTTTGTGTTATTCTTTTGGACATATTGTGTAGTCAACAACAATATAGCCTGTTGTCAGGTACAAAATATATTCATGTGATCCGAATAGGTTGATTGCAAAACTGTAATTAGAGGGTGTTGGTTTGAAATTTTCCTCTTGTGAATCTAAAATTAAACTACAGCAATGCATTTACATAGGCTATGGCATTTTAAAAAGTGAAAAAATGGTGGCGTGTTTGACTGCTTTCACACTGAGTCAGGAGAGCTCTGTAACCAGGTTTGGGGTGCTGGGCCATGCGTTTTGTTTTCTGCCTGGGAGCTTCCTGCAGCTGAAGAGCAGCTTCATAGCTAGATGGAGAGGGGAGAGGTCACGGGAGCTGGGAAGTATCAGCGGTGGAAAGGACAGCCCGGCACTTGAACAGCAATAGATGCAGTTCACGTAATTGGCTTCCTTTGATCAGTTCCCTCTCCCTGGCAAGTGCCAAAATCAAGCTGCTTTCTTGGCTGTTGAACTATCACCATGTTTTCCTGCGACACAGACGTGATGTGGCCTTCATCTCCATCTAATTATGGCATTTGGTCTGCTCACCCTCCTGCCTCATGGATAATTGCAGGGGCCCTTTTTAGGGACAGAAGGGACATGTATGAGCCAAGCCCCCATTCCTTTTGCAAAATCTCTCAACCCTGACTCTTAACCGAGCCAGAGTGATTCAAAAAGTGTTAGCAAAGCAGGTGTTTAGAAAAGATCACATTTTGTCTGGCAGTGTGACAGGGATTCTGCACAGCTGCAAAGGCAGAGGGCAGCACTGGGAGTGCAGCGTGTGGGACTGGCGCTATATTTGTGGCTTACGCAGCATGTCCAGACCAAGTCACTGTTTTCAAATGCTTAACTATTTCTAAAGGAAAACGGAGTTGTCCACAACACTAAGAGGATATTAACAAAAAAATGCAGACTATCAAACCCTCTCTTCCTGTGAGACAGTGAAGACCTGGCTTGGACATATTTTTCAACAAGCTTAAAAAAAAAAGATCACTTGAAAGTATCTGAAGCTATTGGGAAAATGGCCACTTAATCCTGTGCGTAGTGTTACGTTCTTTTCAGGGGAAAAAGGCTGCACTGGTGATAGATGGCCCAGTGTTCAAAAGGTGAACGCGGCACATTTGGGCAAAGTGAAACTCGTCTAAGACAGTACTGTCTTCAAGAGGCGGGTCACACTTGCATTATAGGTGGCACTCCTAAACCTCTTTTTCTCAACCCAAAGAATCCCTGTGGGGCCAACCAGCCTTTTACTGCCACCTAGGACCTATGATTTCAAGTCTTGCCTAAAAGGGGTGCTCTCTGAGGTTCTGAATCCCAGATTATGTGACGTTTTATGTGTGGTAACAAATGAATGGAAGATAATGGTGCCTGTGAAGGGCCAGAGAGATTTGATTATGTGGTGAAGATGATACCTAGTCCTAACTTCTTTAGGAAATAAAACACTATGCAGATGCATTAACGCTTCCTTTAATGGCTTAACACACTCTTCAATTGACTTTTGGGTAAAGCAAAAGGTTGCGCTGACTGTCCAGTTTCCTCTGTAAGGATCCTACAGAAGCCACATCTTTAGATGAAGTAGCTGGAAATAGCAACTTAGAGTAAGATTCTTCTTCAGCCACAACTGTAGTGTCCCTGCCACTTGCCATCACAACACTGTTCTCATTTTTCAACTGTAGAGAATCTCTTTCACACTGTCAAACACAATTAAGCAGCCCTCTCTATAGCATGCTCTATGGTGCATGTCACTACAGCTGTGTTATATGTAAAAGAGACTTACAAAGACATTACTATGCATAATGCCTGATACAGAGACTAAAACTTTAATTCCTGCAAAATTTTTTTTTATAGCAATGGCAGCAAGTGAACGAGGACAGCCACCACCATATTCTAACATGTGGACCCTTTATTGTCTAACTGATAAGAATCAACAAGGTCACCCATCACCGCCACCTGCACCTGGGCCTTTCCCCCAAGCAACCCTCTATTTATCTAATCCTCAGGATCCACAGTTTCTGCAGCATCCACCAAAAGTCACTTTTCCAACTTATGTGATGGGCGACACCAAGAAGACCAGTGCCCCACCTTTTATCTTAGTAGGCTCAAATGTTCAGGAAGCACAGGGATGGAAACCTCTTCCTGGACATGCTGTCGTTTCACAGTCAGATGTCTTGAGATATGTTGCAATGCAAGTGCCCATTGCTGTTCCTGCAAATGAGAAATTCCAGAAACAGACCCTAAGTCCCCAGAATGCTAATCCTCCAAGTGGACAAGATGTCCCCAGGCCAAAAAGCCCTGTTTTCCTTTCTGTTGCTTTCCCAGTAGAAGATGTAGCTAAAAAAAGTTCAGGATCTGGTGACAAATGTGCTCCCTTTGGAAGTTACGGTATTGCTGGGGAGGTAACCGTGACTACTGCTCACAAAGTTCGCAAAGCAGAAACTGAAAACTGGTAGGTATACTTTCCTACCATAACATTTAGGCCTTAACACGTGCGTTTTAAGCATTTTGATTTGCTGAGCTGGAGATTTAGATATTTAAAAATAATTTGAGATAATAAGTTGGGGTATACTCTAATTTCCTTGGGTTATTGTCTCCAACTTCCTAACCACCAGTTACTAATAAATGCACAGCAGGTGCACTGCACCACAATGACTCACGCCAAGGATTTGATGCCCGATACATGAAAGTAATGAACTCAGTCGCTTTTGAAATACCTAGTCCGTTGTCTAACACAGTGGTAGATGCGAAAAGGGGATGGATTTTTAAAACGGGACAATTTAGTTGGCATGTTTAGGGAGTAGGGAGGAGCTGGGAACAACTGAAGAGCAAGGTAAGAGAGAAAAGTCTTGATTATGTAACAGAGCACTTAATCCACGTGCTAAGAGGCAGTAGACGGACAGGGGAGAGGCAGAGTAAAGAGCTAAACAACAGCTGAGATTAACTGTGGATGAGACAGTTTGATCACTCACAAATCATTTTTAAATTTTTCATTCATACTTAATGCCAAGCCTTATGCTAGCCCTTCTCCCCTATGTGTGGACAGTAGAGTGAGCAAAACATGGGACGTACATCTTATGGGGGGAACAGACAAAAAAGTGTATTACAGCATGTATTATGGAGAAAACAAGGTACTGACACAGGCTTGCCTTTAATTGTCACTATTAGATAGGGTGTTCAGGCTCAGATGTAAACTGACACCCGAGCATGAAAAGGAGCCAGCTTTGCAGGGTGCACCCAGGCTGTGTCCTAGGGCAGAAAAGAAAGAACACGGGGGTTCCAGAGACAGCAAAGTAGGCCACCGTGAGACTGGCTGGGACGGAATGGGGAGATTGTATAAAATGAAAGATTTTGATGGAAAGTTCAATGGGAAGCCAGCACAAGTGTTTTAAGCAGAAGAATGATAGAATCAGATTCCTGTTTTTATTAGATCCTTCGGGCTGCTAGGTGGAAAACAGATTAGCAGCAAGGGGGAGGTCAACAGAGGAAGTAGGGAGACTAGTTGAAAGTACAGAAGCGTTATGTACCAATTAGTTACTTCAAATAATTAGTGGGAATTTTAAGTTGAACATCTGAGAGATGGACAAAAGCTAGATTTAATTCATAAGCAGGCTCAAGGACCAGTTACTATATTTTAAGGAAAGACAAAATTATCTTAGGGCTAGGTGCACTTCTTCAAACTCTTTATGGACTTCTAGTGGAACTGCCAAAATGGCTGTTTTCAGCATGAAATTGCTGGGATATTTCAGTGCAAAAGCCCATAGGTAACTAGTTAAGCTTAGTAACAGAGCAGGAGGGTAGACGTTGCGTTTCTGATCTTCTGCTCATTTCACATGTTCAGTTTCATGTGTAACTTTAAACAATTCAATGTTTGCATTATTCCTAACAGATCCAGAAATGACGCTGTTTGGGTCAACATTTCAGGGAGGAGTCTGCCACCAGTGTAATGTATCAATAAACTTCATGCAAGCATACAATTTTGCATTGTTTATTTTTGTAATTTAGGAGGACTACAACCAACCAACCAAACACAAAAGGCCTATCTTTTCAGACTTATAAAGCAATAGCATTTTCCAACTCCTCTGTGTATACTTTTAAACTATTCCCACTCTAACAGATCTAGTAATGAATTTTCTAACCAGGTAGTTCCACTTGATTCTGCATTTGAGATTCACACCAAATGAATACAGTAGCACCTCTCTATACTGTATCTATCCAGAGATGAACTGAAGGCCAAATTCCTACTTACCACTATACATGCCGGGTAACTGGTCATCTCCTCCGCCCTGGGAGCCATGGCACCACCAGGACTTCTTTGATAGGACACTTCTAACAATTCAGGATGGTATTAAGTGACAACATTAGTGTATTTGAAATTTTACAAGAAACCACACTTTTGGGGAACATTCTAAAGCCTTTATTTAGCATCAGGTAGATTATTTCATTATAACACTTGTTAACTTCAAGACAGCAATTAAAATCATGTACTGGCAGCTACCTAAGGCCCATGGGAGCAATATCTCAGTCTGGGGTTTGGGTGGATAAATACTATAAGATTTAAGATTAATGTGCCCCAATTAAAGGGGCAAAACTACTGTACAGTAGGTCTCCACACATATTTTAAGTACACAAGTACCTTGCAAACTTGAAATGCACAAGACCTCCTTTTATATAGTTTGATACTTACATGAGTGCAACTTAATTTCTCTAGCGGCATTTGCCACTGGAAGTGGAAGCATTTAACAAGGTTTGTCATTATGTAATGGTGATTAAAATCTATATTTCTAGGGCATTTTTGTGAATTGCTAGATTTTATACATATTTTCAATTCAAATGTAAACTTAAACATTTTAATGATATTGCAGAAAACTGTAAAAGTAAATTCAGAGCACTAAGTAAATTAAATACTTTTCCAGTTTAATTCTTCAGAATTTTCAAATCAGAAATATCTATTCTGAACATTCAGGCATTTTTTTCTTCTTGGAAGATGGAAGGGGTAAAATTGGATTAGTATGAATAAAAGCCATCTTATCAATGGAGTCTTTATAAAATGACATAACCTCTACATTTGAGCAATAAACATTGTATAGGACGAGAGTTCTAAATATGTCAAAGGTTACATCTAAAACATTCAAGCATGACAGCATAAAAATATTCAAAATAACTTGATTTGGGATTACTATATAGTTCCATAAAGCTAAAGTTACATTTAGGTATAAACCTTCAGTAAATATGGCAACAGCGACCATAAAAAGCATATTCCCCAGCAGTCTTCTCTTACCTCTATATAAAATAGTATTCCAAATAAGTACGTTTTATAGCAAAATTTATGCATTTTTCCTAAGACTTTCATCACCAGTATCACCTTATACCCTGCTTTTGTTGGGGGTGAAATGCAATTATGAATGTTTTTTCTTTTTTTCTTTTTTTTTTTAAAGATAAGTAGAAACCAAGGGAAAAAAATTTAAAAACATAGGTTTAAGACTTATTTGTAGATTAGCCAAACACCCTGACTTGTATGCATTTTAATAAATGTCAGGCAAATTGAAGTAATTTCTGTCCCAGTAGCTGCCAGAGTAAATCCAGTCCTGTGCTCCATTGTAGGGATTAGGACCTTGATGGAACCACCTGTTAAAAGAAAAACGTCAAGATTTACAGGGCAAACTGGAAAATCACAGGCTGTTTCTTCACTAGCTTGCAGTATTTTTCTATTGCAGCAACTCATTCTGTGAGGGATTTCTAAAGAGATGCTGAAGTGATGTTGTTTTTCTGCTTAGGTAGGGAACAGGTCTGTGGAATAATATTCCAAAAGGGGTAATGATACCATGCAAAAGGAATATAGATTTCCCACCAGGATCTAGCAAGCTACTTGACAGAAGCAGGGTCTTCTAATAGGTTGGTTCGAAACAATGTATTTGTCTAACAGGTTTACCCTCTAGCCCGGGTCTTATTTTCCACAGCAAGGCATTCTTTTAAGCAGTTAGGAATAAATTAGAATAAGAAAATTAACATTTACAGCATGCCCACAGCAGTATGTAAGGCACCTGGTTCAGTGTAAATGCCCTTCAAACTTTTTTTTTTTTTTTTTTTTTGGGTTGAGACGGAGTTTTGCTCGTTACCCAGGCTGGAGTGCAATGGTGCGATCTCAGCTTACCGCAACCTCTGCCTCCCAAGTGAAAGCGATTCTCCTGCCTCAGCCTCCCAAGCAAGCTGGGATTACAGGCATGCACCACCACACCCAGCTAATTTTGTATTTTTAGTAGAGACAGGGTTTCTCTACGTTGGTCAGACTGGTCTGAAGCTCCTGACCTTGTGATCCGCCCACCTTGGCCTCCCGAAGTGCTAGGATTACAGGTGTGAGCCACTGCGCCTGGCCTCAAACTCTTAAAGCTCTGTTTTACAGATGAGAAGCTGAATGTCTAGGCAGTTAAATAACTTGCCCAACCTTGTAACTGATGGCAAATTTAGGTTTAATGTTGAAGACCATGATTTTTCTAATATACCATGCTATACATAATCCAAAAGACATGAAGAGACATTTCTGAAGAGACATACAGATAGCCAACAGGATATGAGAAAATGCTCCACATCACTAAGTAGGAGGGAAACGTGAATAAAACCCACAAGATTATTATCTTACACCAGTTAGGATGGCAATTATTAAAAAGAAAAAACAGGCTGGCGAGGATGCAGAAAAAAGCAAGCTCATACACTGGTAGTGAGAATATAAATTGGTAGAACCACCATGGAAAACAGTATGGAGATTTTTGTTTGTTTGTTTGTTTGTTTTTTGAGACGGAGTCCTGCTCTGTTGCCCAGGCTGGAATGCAGTGGCACGATCTCGGCTCACTGCAAACTCCGCCTCCCGGGTTCATGCCATTCTCCTGCCTCAGCCTCCTGAATAGCTGCGACTACAGGCACCCGCCACCATGCCCAGCTACTTTTTGTATTTTTTTAATAGAGATGGGGTTTCACCATGTTAGCCAGGATGGTCTCGATCTCCTGACCTCGTGATCTGCCCGCCTCGGCCTCCCAAAGTGCTGGGATTACAGGTGTGAGCCACCGCGCCCGGTCAGAGATTTCTTAAAAAATCTTAACACCATAGGATCCGGCAATCCCACTACTGGGTATCCAAAGGAAAGGAAGTCAATGTATCGAAGGGATACCTGCATCCCTATGTTTACGACAGCACGATTCACAATAACAAAGATATGGAATTAACCTGTGTCCATCAATGGATGAATGGATAAAAGTCAGTGGAAATAACTTTTTTTCAGGCCTGGGACAACTCAGCAGGGTTTGTGTTAGATAGGCCCTTGCTCTGGGGTCAGTGTCTGGCATCCCTGCCTCGTCCCACACAGCAGCCTGCCTGAGAGCTGAGCCACACCCCCTGACTCAGGCACGCACCTCGTCTTCCAGTCCTCTTCTGACTTGGACCTGTTTTTGCGGGCTGCTCTTTGTTTTTCCTCAAGTCGTTTTTTTTCTTCACTAGCTTGATCTAAAATAAGAACATCAATACAAACCATTAACACTCTACATAGAGGATGTCAGGCACAGTATTAAGCACAAGAACTTCACAAAAGAACCATTTACACGTTCTCCCTTTCATTAGAACACAAATACCAGAGTCAAATATCAAGCAAAAATTGTAACAGGTACCTGGGCTAGTAAGAGGCAGAGCTGGTACCACAGACGCAGCATCTCTGACGGCCTATGCTCTTAACAGCCTTGCCAAGAACAACCTGCTTATTCTTAAGGCCAAAACAACTGTGTTAAAATTCTTCAATGAAAAATTGGGTGTAAAAACTAAATAAACGTGAAATTATTCTAAATTCTTAGTGAGACCTCACAGAGCTCCTTCAGATGCCATTCTTAAGGAATTTAAACAGTCTTCCAAAATACTGTCGCGGTGTCTCACGTTTTCTCCACTGTGGCACTATGACATGTTAGATGTGATGGCTGTATCATAAAAGGCCACGTGGTGATTCTATCATAAGAGGCTGGGAGAGGATGTTTCGCAGCATCCCTGGCCTGCAGACGCCAGTAGTACCTCCTAAGAAGTGACAACCAAAGTCTTCAGACTTTGCTACATGTCTTCTTGGGGGGGGAAATGCCCCCCTTTTGAGAATCACTGGATTGGAAGAAATTTATAAGATAAAAATGGGCTGGATGCAGTGGCTCACGCCGGTAATCCCAGCACTTTGGGAGTCTGAGGCGGGCGGATCACCTGAGGTCAGGAGGTCTGAGACCAGCGTGGCCAACATGGTGAAACCCCATTTCTACTAAAAATACAAAAATTAGCCAGGTGTGGTGGCGCGTGCCTGTAATCCCAGTTACTCAGGAGGCTGAGGCACAAGAATAGATTGAACCCAGGAGGTGGAGGCTGCAGTGAGCTGAGATTGCGCTACTTAACTCCAGCCTGGGAGACAGAGCGAGACTCTGTATAAAAAAAGAAAAAAAAATGTTGTAATTGATACCTCATTTACCCTGATGTGATTATTACATATTGTATGCCTGTATCAAAATATCACACATACTACGTAAGTATATACACCTACTTATACCAACACACAAAAACATTTAAGTTATAATTAACCAAGGGGAGGCCACACTCTCCTCTGAGGCTGACAAGGTGCTATGTAAATTCTGAAGCAGACAGTGACTTAATTAGTCAGAAAATGCCTCTGGCCATCTCCAGTATATTAAATTCTCAGGGGAGTATTACCACAATAATAAGAGCTAATAAGGTCTGCCCAGATTTCCAAATTTAAAATAAAAGTTACTGAATTTAGGCCGGGCGCGGTGGCTCAAGCCTGTAATCCCAGCACTGTGGGAGGCCGAGACGGGCAGATCACGAGGTCAGGAGATTGAGACCATCCTGGCGAACACAGTGAAACCCCGTCTTTACTAAAAATACAAAAAACTAGCCGGGCAAGGTGGCAGGTGCCTGTAGTCCCAGCTACTTGGGAGGCT